TGTGTGAGAATCGTGGAGTGAATGTGTTGGTGTGCCTGTTTTGCCATTTTTTTTTAAATATAGGACTGTTAGTTAGGATAGGTAGTCTAGTTTCTGGTATGCCTGTGTTTAATTATAAGTAGGCAGGGCCGGGCAGGTTGGCACAGTCTCTGGTCGCGTGTCCCGTTTTCGCGTGTCCAACCTGTTTCAGGAAATCGAATTTGAAAAATCGACAGTGAAATTGGCACACAGAATGGAGCATGCCACTTGTTCCTGGTTTTACTCTTCGATTTTTCGAATTTAGTATCGCGGTCGCGGTCGCGATTACGTCGCGATTAGGTGCCGAAACGGACGTTTACATAGGTATTGCTCGAGCACATGTGAACGGACAACGATCACTATGATCGATGGTCGTCCATGTACAATTGAATCAGCTGAATCCGCGATTTATTTTTTTTATTTCACCTTTGTAAGTTTATTTCTTGGTTTGCGACTTAGAAAGTCTCGAGCTTAGATGTTAAGTTTCAGCGGAGAGAAGAAGAAGAAGAGGCCCGGCAAACTGCCATAGAAGAGGGCTGCAACGAATGGCTTGTCATCCTCTGGATGGGAAATCCGTCCAGAGCATGGAAAGTCATTTTTTTTATTTATATAATGACTCTGTCATTATGCTCGCTTTTCAGTAGTTAGTAGCTCGTATTTTTGGCCGATGCACATTCCGGCTTATCGCCACATTGGACAAATCTCCGTTGCTTTATTAGCGTTGCGACTGATTAATGATTCGGTTTGCATTAGAGTTGCGATGAAACGACAACGTCGTGTTTGTTTTAGCATTGCAAATTTTTGAATCGCGAATGTTTTCAGTGTCCATTTTTTTTTTTTTTTATATAGTTATTCAGTTTATCGTAATTATTTTTAATTTTCAGTTTTATTTAATTATTCAGAGTGTTCATTGAATTTTGTATTTTGAGTTCAATTAATTTCCTATCCTTTCAATCGTACAGAATATTTTTTATTAAATTTAGCGTTGCGTTTTGACGAGTAATCGCGATTCTTTAACGTTCCGAGATCTCATATCGATTGTTACTAATTCAATATCTAAGCAAGTTTGTTACAGATTCATTAATTTCACGGAGGAAATTCCAAATATGCTGAAGGACGGAATAACGAGGATAAAGAAAAAACAAATGGCTAAAGGAAAAGAAACTACTGGTAATTAATTGGATTTTTGAATCTTATCTTAAATATTTTATGATTTGTTATACACGTGTAAATTTTCATCCTTCGCGCGTTCTTCTTAATTAAACCGTATTCCCAAGAACAAGTTCATTTAATTTCAACGACAAAGCGACTAGAAAGCATAACAAAACGAGTCTCGCTTGCACCGATTTCTACAAACAATCACGAAAGTATCGAACAATGCTTCATGAAAATCAGCACATGAAAATACGTAGCCTCTGAACTATGTACTTCTCACGACGAAATCCCACAACTATCATAGTTGATTAGCACGTAACGTGAAACACCGGATGGTTATCGCGATGTTAGTTAATTGCAAGGGCAATTCTCAACGCGAGAAGCTAGAGATATTAATTTTTTCGCTGCCGTTGTCGTCAATAGATTGTTTGAAAGTTCGTTTATTATATTTTGTTAGTGTCTTCTTTTTTTAGCATTCTTAAAGTAAAAATTCAGTATTTGGGTAACTTTTATACATTCTTTATGGAAAATTTCTCTACGGAATTTGCAGTATCAATCACTGCTACATTTCTCTCATTTTCTATAACAAAAGGGTTTCTATAACAAGTGTCTTCGGGTTTTTTCCTTTTTTTAGCATTCTTAAAGTAAAAATTCAGTATTTGGGTAACTTCTATACATTCTTTATGGAAAATTTCTCTACGGAATTTGCAGTATCAATCACTGCTACATTTCTCTCATTTTCTATAACAAAAGGGTTGAAGGCTGCATTAGTTGAAAAGGGTTAAAAACAGTGTACTATATTATCGACTATATTCTAACTACGAAAGCTTGATGTTCGAGAATTTGCCGTAAGATGGTACGGCAACATTTCTCCAATTGGGTAGCTTGAGATTACTATCACGGTGAAAGAATTTACTTTTCTATTAACATTAAAAATGGACGTTTTGTAAAAGACATTTCACTCTGTTGTAAGATTGTAATTAATTTTATATTTACAATAGATGTCGTCCAAGGGAAAATAATATATAAAATTTTATTATTATATGTTATTAATATCATTTGCAATTAATTTTATATTTACAATAGATCTCGTCCAAGGGAAAATAATATATAAAATTTTATTATTATATATTATTAATATCATTTGTAATTAATTTTATATTTACAATAGATCTCGTCCAAAGGAAAATAATATATATAAAATTTTATTATTATATATTATTAA